GGAGGGAGGGAGCGAGGGAGGGGGGAGGCGGAGGGGGAGGAGGCGGCCGGGTTGCGGGATTGGGTCACGGGGAGGCTGCCGGGCCCCGGCGGCAGCGCCGCTAATTCCCAGGCCGCCCTTAAGGAATGAGGCGCCCCACGTGACGCTGGCGGGGCGGGCGAACTCCGAGCCATTTTGGGGACGGTGTCAGTTTCCACTGTGTGCCTTCAGCGTTGCATTCTTCCCTCCTCCGCCCTCCTCCCGCCCGCCCGCCCGCCCGCCCTCCTTCCCTCCCCGGGTCCCCGCCACCAACTATGAAATAACAACAACAATAATACTCGTAATAATAACAATAATAATAAAAGAAGGAACGCGAGCGAGGCCGCGAGGCGGAGCGGGGGGCAGAGGGAGAGACAATGGGCTGGTGGAGAGAGGACCCATCCGGACCGGGGAGACTGTGCGCTCCCAGCGCCTGAGCCGCCCGGGCGGCCAACTCGGAGGGAGCGAGAGAGCGAGGGAGCGAGCGAGAAGGGCCCGCGAGGAGCGGCGGAGACCCGGGCGTTCTGTAACTAAAATGAGCGGAGCGCAGCGGCGGCGGCGGCAATAAGCTTATTGCAATTGACAGCGTCTGCAGTTCATTTCAAGATGGCCGCTTGGCTCACATTCATTTTCTGCTGAACGACTTTTAACTTTCATTGTCTTTTTTGGCCGCTCCGATCATCACCCACCGGCTCCGTTTTCCGGGTACGTATGAAGCGAGGTGTCGCCTTAGCAAGGGCGGGGGGCGAAGGGGGCTCGGCGGCGGTTTTCGGCCGGTTTGGGGGCTGCAAAGGGGCGCCTAGGTGTCCCCCGAGCTCTCCGTATGGGAAAAGCGCTGACAGGCTGCTCCAGCCACACACACACATACAGACACGCAGCAGCAGCAGCAGCAGCCTGTGCACTCGCTCGCGTTACGCACCCACATTTGCAAATTTTAGTTCCTTTCTTTCTCCAGACGCCCCCTAAAACCTTTCTGTGCACATGGCCCCCGAGGAGAATATTTATATTTCCCGACCCTGCTGCCAGCCCGGCCCGAGCGCCCTTTGTTTAAAGGCAGATTTTGATTAAACAGGGACGTTCGTGAAATCTGGAGCTGCCTGGGTCAAGTGATTTCAGTCCTCCCCGAAAGAAATGTGTCTGGGGGAGGTTAAAATGTCAGATAACGCACCCATTTTATAGAGACGGAGCCAGCGGGGGGTAGCGATCCTCCTGGGGGGGTTGTTAGGAGCCGGGGCACCCAGCAGAAAATGTTATTAACTTAAGTTGGACAAGTACTTGTGTGAAATTGGATGGGTTGTAAGATGGCGGTTCCCAGTTGTTTCCAATGTCTCCTCTTACATTTCTGCTCTAAATGCTAAACTTTAGGGGTTTGTGCCTACTGGGAGAGGCAAGGGATGGCCAACGCCGAGAAGTAACTTTTTTGGGGGGTGAGGATAGCAGTTTTGCTGCGATCTTGGGGAGCTGGGGCGTGCGGTTTGCTGGAGCCTTTGGAGCAAAGGTGATGTGTCTGCGGGACGCGGAGGGGGGGGTGGTGTGTGTGAATTTCTTTTCTCTGGTTGGTATTTTTTTTCTCCTGAGCCCGGGAAGGGTAAATTTACATGAAATCCTTTGTCAGATCTTAGAGATGTCGCGAGTGGGTTCCTCGTACTGCTTATGGGCAGCCCTTGAAAGTTGCTAGTGTTCTGTTTTTATAATTGAATGGCCTTGGCGATATATAACGCGGGATGTTTCTCTGTGTTTGCTGTAAACATTTGCAAATAATGAGGTAAAAATCAGCAGAAAAAAATCGCATTTCTATACAAGTGAGATAGTAACTTTTCAGCCTCTAGAAAGTTTGATTCACTCCTCCCTTCTCCAGAAAAGTCGAAGAAAACCTGGGCGTGTGTGCCCATTTGCAAACTTGGCGCTAGAAGGATTTTTTTTGCATAGTCTGTAGTGGTCGGAGTAGCTTCTTTTATGGGACTGTCCCTAACACCAGGGACATTCTGGAAATACAGTCCAGTAAAACTACTTTGAGTGACTCTGAGCAGCCCGTCCTGGAAACTGAGACAGACTTGTGTTGCAGTTTGCCAGAGACACGAAGTCTTGACCTACCTGGTCGCTTAGATAGTACAAAATTAACATTTTAATGTATTTTTTTAAGTAGACCTATTATGTCTTACGCCTAGTCACAGGGAGCTGATTTTGAAGACTGGGGTCCTTTTTTGCACTCTGTTGCCAATATTCAGGTCTTTCCTCGGTGCAGCAAGTTGGGCAGAGATATTTGAGCTTCGTGTGCCTTCTCTGAAAGAAGCACCGTCCTCTCCTTTAAAACGTTTGCGTCCATTCTTAAGTGAAAGAGTAATAACAGGCTCGATAGTACAAGTGGCTCTGGCTGATAATGAGTGAAGATGTAGAATGACGGCTGCTTTATTCCTGATGAGAGAGTTTTCCGAGAGGAGATGGGTGCAAAGTACACAAACCTATGCGAGCCATGCTTCTATTTTTTATGTATGTATTTTCTGTTAGAGACCTGTCGAGCAAGGTTTGATAGCTTATTGCCTTTATAGATTTTTAATAATGTAGCTGATTCTTAGCAGGAGAATGCACTTCTGTTTTTCTTCATTTTGACATAACATGTTTAAGGCCTCTAAATAATCGGTTGGCTGGCAGTGTTTACTTCTAGCGAGTATTATCTACGTATATTTTACGTTTAGTTGTTCCATGTGTCAGTGTGTAAATATATATTGTCCTGGGTAAGAGGCTGTTTGTATTTGTGTGAAGTAGTGGCATTCGCCGTGTGATCAGCAGGAGCAGAAAAAAAATCTGAAAGGATTTCCATCGTACCAAAATATTAAGCTCAGGCTGCTGTAGTAAAATGTGCTGTGTTCATGTTACAACCCCGCAGGCACAGACACGCGTGTGCCTGTGCCTGTGCGGGTGGCTTTTGAGGAGAAATTAGGCGCCTTGTTCAGTTCGCTGGAGAAAATCACTGATTTTCAAGATAGCTTATAGCATGTTGAAAATGTGCTAACTTTGGGCAATAAATAATCCGCGTTTAGGGGTTGCTTCGACAAAACAGGTTTCACGGTTGAATTTAATCCCCCTCCATTTAGGAAGGGGCTATGCCTGCGTGAAATAAACGCGTTAATGTCTTGAAAGGTTTGTCCCAGTCTGTCAGGGCTGGGAAGGAATTCTTGGTCAGCCGACTTGCATGACCTCGGTCACTGCTGGTTTTTTTGGTTCAGATATTTATGAATTATAAGGTAGTGACTTGAACAAATAAAACACAGAACCGTGAAAGCAGCCTGTCCATGTGTAAGTACCTAAAGGGACCTCAGAGCCGCCGGCTTCAGGGCTCTTCAGAGGAGAGTGCAGAAGCCCCGTCTCCGCCTTTTCTGGGAAAAGCAAAACCTCGGTATCAGTTTAAAAGTAAGAAGCAGAGGGTCAGGGACCCTGGAAGCGACATTTAAACCGCAGTACAATGCAGCGGCGGTCTTGCTTTCCCTCACGGAGCTGGGAACAGCTTTGGGGACCTGGTCTGGCTTGGTGCTTCTGGCATTTTGGTTTTCTGTGTGCTGGCCGGCATTGGTTTGATGCTGGGGAGTTTTATCTGCTGCTCACTCGAGGGTTCTCCTGCAGCAGCCAGAGAAGTTTTCTGGCCGGGGTCGCTCGTTGGCGCTGTGCACACTTCTGAAGAATATTGTACCCCTGTCCTGGGCAGTTTGGCCGACGTTCAAAGCTTTTAGAAAGCTTGGTGTGTTGCCCTTTTTTTTTTTTTTTTTTTCCCTGCCTAACATCGAAGTTTGCCAGTGGCTGGGGGGAACCTTGCATCTTGAGCATACGGTGCTGAGATGAGAGGTGGCTCGCAAGCTCTGCCTCGGGAGGAGCGGAGACCAAGGACAGGAGCTGGTGTGCTGGGAGCACTGACCTGGGGAAATTAATGGCTTGCATTGGAGCCACGTTGTTATATTACATTTTTCAGGATCTGGTTGACGGAAAATAATTTACTCTGCAATTGACATGGCTGGCGGGTTTTTTCCTCGTGTGTACTTTCCCCTTTATCTCTTATTCCCTCTCATTTTAAACAGTATGTGTGCATCTAGCGTTGTTGCCAGTGCATCCGATGGGGGTTTATGGGTTTCAGACTGTGAAAATGACATTTGTTTTTCACTCTTGTCGCTGCATTGTGTTGACAAGGTGTTGATTTAGCTTTAGGAATGATCTGGTCACATGGTCCTTCGCATATTGTCACTAATGTACCGTTTAAAGTCGGTTTGGGCTTTCCCCCCCTCTCAGTGTGCTTTATTGATGAAAAGGGGGTTTGCTTAAGGATTCGGAGACTTGTATTTTCCCATCCAAGCATCTTACCGTGGTGCTGCAAATCTCTTTACACCTTTTGCAAAACTTTGCACCGCGCTCGCTTCGTCCGCGGGAGGATTTTCAAACGAGAGTCAAAACGGGGGGAAGGAAAGAAAGAGAGAGAAAAAGAGTCAGGGGGAAGAGAAAGGGAGGAAGGAGAGAAATGAAGAAAAAGGAGATGGAGAGATCGGGGATGCCGGCGCGGTGGAGCGGGAGCTGGGGCTCGGCACCTCGCCGGCGGTGCGGGGGGCTCGGTCCCCGGGAGCGCGGCGTGGTTCGGAGGGAGGGAGGGAGCGGAGGGGGAGAGGAGCGATCTCAGACCAGCTTCTCGCACCGAGTCGACGTGGAGAGAGGCCCCTGAGAGGATCCGAAATGGCCGAGGCTCGGGAGGAGCCTCTGGCACTCGCCTCCGCCAGGCTGAGACCCCGCAGCCCGGGGCCGCCCCCGCCGCCCGGACTGCCCCGCACCGCGCCCGGGCACCCTCCGGGCTGTGCCACCCGACCCCGCCCGGGCCGCTCCCGCCCTCCCTCTGCTCTCCCTTCGCAGCCGGGCTCCCAGACCCCCGCGGGCTCCTTGGCTCCTCCACCCCCTCCGCCAGCCCCCGGGCCCCGCGTCCCACCCCCTGGCCCGGCCCGGCCCGGCCCGGCCCGCCCCCCCGGCCGCCCCCCGCCCGGCTCTCGTGTGTTCCCAGCGGTGGCAGGATGCCAAGTGTAAGTGTAAGTTGCTATAGCAACCCCCTCGGAGAGCGGAGCAGATCCGGATCGGCACCGAGCCGCAGCGGCAGCCGCCCGGACCCCCCCGGCGGGCCGGCCCCGCCGCCCCGGTGCCCGGCCCCGCTCCGAGGTGCGTGTGTCCCCCCCCGTCCCTCCCCCCGCCGCCCCTCCCCGCGCTCCGGAAATGCCAGGGCAGCCGCACCGGGAGGCGCTGGTTCCCCTTTGTGCTGCTCGCCGGCAGCCCGGTGCCCGCCGTGTCGCCCCCGGAGCTCCCGCCGCATCGCCGCCGAGCCGGCCGGTGCCGCCGCGCCGCGGGAGCGGCCCGTGCCCGCCGGGGGACGGCGCGGTGGGTGCCGCGGAGCGACCGCGGGGCTGCGCCCAGGCCGGCCCGGGGCGGTGCGGTGCGGGGACGCCCCGCCGGCCTCGGGACCGGCCCTCGCCCGCCGCCCGCCCCCGCGCCGCCGCCGCCGCCTTCGCCTTCCGCGCCTGAGCTGCCCCTGCGCCGGGGGATGCGATGCGATGCACGGGGGGAAGGGGACGCGCCGGACCGCGGCACCTGGGACGCAGCCGCGCTCGTCCCCGCTGACCGGTCCTCTGTGTGTGTGTCTTTCAGAGCCGCTGCTCGCCACGCCAAAATGCACCGAACAACCAGAATCAAAATAACCGAGCTAAACCCCCATCTCATGTGCGTGCTCTGCGGCGGGTACTTCATTGATGCAACAACCATCATAGAGTGCCTCCACTCCTGTAAGTACGACCGGGCGCTCCGCGTTGTTCCCTTGCCGCTTCCCTCCTTTCCCGGCATCCCGGGAACAGAAACAAAAAATCCTCCCAAGCCCAAACCCCCGAGGGGCTCGGGACCGCTGCCCTCTACCTCCCCGACGGGTGGGGAAGTAGGTGTTCCGGCCGCGCTGCAGATTTTCTGAGGACAGTCCTACGGTCTTTGTTAAAGTAATAATATATGTACTATAAGCGTCTCCTTTTCATGGTAATTGCGGCTTATTTGGGTATTTGTTTAGCTTAAGCAGCTCGCTGCTGACAATGGACGATTTGCTCTAGCTTGCATAGTTTAGAAAATCGCACCTTTATCTATGCATATCTGAGTGGCACCTTGGAACATCACTGAAAGCTTGTCGTTTTTGACTTACAGTCTGTAAGACCTGTATCGTGCGTTACTTGGAGACCAGCAAGTATTGTCCTATCTGTGATGTCCAAGTTCACAAAACTCGACCGCTTTTGAATATAAGGTAGGAGAAAGTTGCAAAGTGCATCCTGCATCTCTTATTTTGCTTCATGTGGGGAGACCGGCAGTAGTCGGTGTCAATGTTATCTCTTCGTCTGCGATTTAAATCTGAAAGGGCTTGTCAATTTACAAGCTAACTGGTGTGTATGCGTTCTCTTTGGAGTTTCATCACTGATTGAAACTGAAGATTTCTCTGCACGGGAGACAGAAAGTTTTTGTTTGTCTTTTTAGCATAAGCCAGTCATTGATGTAATGCCTTTTCCCTCTCCCCAGTTCTCACGTGTACCACCGGACAGTTCTTGCCTCTGCTTTCTGTATCTCCCAGACATGCATCACTCCAGGATAATTCCTAATCACGAAAACTCTTGCAGCAACTTTCCAAGCTAAGAGGCAAAAACCTTTAAAGCATCATTTGCCTTTCAGAAACATTTTCCTTGTCAGCACTGCATTTTGCTCTCTCTCCTTTCTAGGGAGGATGTGTAGTTTTTAAGGCCTTCCTTCAGTCTGAGAACCTTCAGCTGAGGTACCACAGATGAGTTTTGGTTCAGAGTTGTAGTTAGAGCAGGGCTAGTTTGATTACAAGGTCCTGCAAGTTAACTTTTAATGACTGGCCTCCCACTTTGTAGAAGATGCCTTGTTGTGAAAGATTATAAGTAGGGATTAAAATATTACTTCTCCTGCTTATTTTCATGTTTTGGGGTTGTTCTTTTTTTCAGGTCAGATAAAACTCTCCAAGATATTGTATACAAGCTAGTACCAGGCCTTTTCAAAAGTAAGTAGTTAAATCAGGCATTTTGTTAAGAGCAGAAAACAAAACCAGAGCTGCTATCCTATATCAATACCAGGAGTTACAGAGTAAATGCTAAAAGAAAATTATATGCTTTTCCATCTAGATGAAATGAAAAGAAGAAGGGATTTTTATGCTGCTCATCCGTCGGCTGATGGTAAAAGCTTCTCATTTGCAACTTTAATAAATATAGCATTGACCTAGATGTTTTACTGTTTCCTTTTTAACTTACAAGTGATGTATTACTGTCACAGAATTTTAAGAAGTAAAGTCAGCATAATAAAAGTTTATTGTTTTGTCAGGTAGCTTTCATTCATTATCTTACTGTGAAGATTTTTTTTTTCTTGTTACTGAGAATTGCCATTCTTCCTGATTTGAATTTCAAAATGTAAATTATTGTGGAAATTTCTGCGCAGCTGCCAATGGCTCTAATGAAGACAGGGGAGAAGTGGCTGACGAAGACAAAAGAATTATAACAGACGACGAGATAATAAGCTTATCCATTGAATTCTTTGACCAGAATAGGCAAGTTCCAGAATTGCAATATTTTATGTTTACCTGATTGATAGCAGCTGTATTTATTATTTGTTGTAAATGTGTCATTTCTTCTCACAGACTGGAACGAAAAGGAAATAAGGAGAAAGAAAAATCAAAGGAAGAGGTAAATAACTTTCCTTTACTCCAGAGGAAGCATATCACACACACACACACCTTTGGGACAGGTCTGTAGCTGAGAAAAATACATAGGTATGTGTATCTAGAACAAAGGAGGTGCACCTCCTATTATGGCATGAGGTACAGAAAAGGTAAAATATTTTTATACAGCTGTATATGTAAGCAACTTTTTAAAATTAAAAATGCATGCAGTGTTACTTTTAAAGCAGAATCTGATATTTTGTAAAATTTAAAAATATTTAATAATTTATTGATTACTTTATTATAAACTAAAAACATACGATACAAATATTTATGTATAAATTTAGTTACATATTTGAATTACTTTAGAACTGTAATTTACCACTTATCTGTGACATGCCTTCTAAGGCAGCGGACATTGTTATGTTACAGTTCATAATTTAATAAGATACATTTTTTTTAACTTGAAATGTTAGAATACAACATTAGTGGGAGTAATTGCTTGTTCTCAGTAGACTGATTTTCTTTACTATGCTCTCAGGTGAATGACAAAAGATACTTGCGCTGCCCAGCAGCAATGACAGTGATGCATCTAAGAAAGTTCCTGCGGAGTAAAATGGATATACCTAACACTTTCCAGGTACCTATGGGGAAAGAGTGATTTTTTTTTTTTAAGTTTTTTGTTTGTTTTGTTTTTTATTTAGGACTGGTTTCCTCATTACAGCCTGTTCCAGCAAGTGCTAACTGCCAAGTATTTACGGTGTGTGCAATACGTTGCTGGGCTTATTTTTAAAGTATCTATCTGTAGAGTATGGTGACACTGTAATTTTTTTAATGCTGTAAATATCAAAGTATAAAGAAATTGCTCCTTGATGTATTTAAAACATGTCCAATAGATAATGCAAATTCCCTACTTATTGCTGGGTTTGGTATAGCTTTTTTTTTTTGTTTTTTTTCAAATTTTGTGAGATACGTAACAGTAGGGCTACTTTCACCTGAGATCAGTCATGTGCTAGGGCTGAATGCCTGGATGCTCCTTAATGCAAGGATTCATATCTTGAACAGATCGATGTGATGTATGAAGAGGAGCCTCTGAAGGACTACTACACCCTAATGGATATTGCCTACATCTATACCTGGAGGCGGGTGAGTATCTCCAGGAGGACTCCAGTATGTCTCCTCCAGGGGGGGTGCAGGTCATGGCTTGGGGAGGGCGCTTATAAGGGTCTCCCTTTTGCTTTACAGAATGGGCCTCTGCCCCTGAAATATCGGGTCCGACCTACTTGCAAGAGGATGAAGATCAGTCACCAGAGAGAAGGCTTGAATAACAGTGGGGAGCTGGAAAGTGACTCTGGGAGCGACAAGGCGAGCAGCCCAGCAGGAGGCATCCCCTCCACCTCCTCCTGTTTGCCCAGCCCCAGCACCCCGGTCCAGTCTCCTCACCCCCAGTTCCCTCACATCTCCAGCACCATGAATGGCACCAGCAGCAGCCCCAGCAGTAACCACCAGTCCTCCTTTACCAACAGAGCTCGGAAAACATCAATAAATGGCTCCTCAGCCACTTCATCTGGTTGATGTGCCAACCAGGCTACCACCCTCGTCCTTCCTTTATATAGATCTCTCCATGCCATTACAGCTTTATAGATGCTAATCCATGTGACTATCATCCAAATTGCTTTCTTTTGTAGTAACACTGAACTTGGCTATAAAAGGCCAGACTAGGTGACATTCAGGATGGACGTTAATGGAAACGCAAGATTGAAATGTAAATTGTTTTCAGAGGACTGAGAAGCTAACAAAAGTTACATCTTCACCTGTTCTGAGTGATGTGGAGTTGTTTCTGTCCCCATCATCTGGAGTCAGGAGTCTCCAGAAGTCAGTACAAATCCCGGGAAGTAGTTTGTTAATCCAGACTAACTCCTCCATTGCGTTCTCTTCGATTGTTATTGTTCTTATGCTGTTTTGTGAACCTGTAGAAAGCAAGTGCTTTTTCATCTTGAAATCCAACAAAATTGAAAGAATATGCATAGAGAAATGCATATATGTAGCCATGTCACTGTGAATAACAATTTTTGCGTATTAGCCATTTTGATTCTTATGTTGCATCTTTTACTTCTCTGTTGCTGCGCAGAACCGATCAAAAGAAAAGTAAACTTCAGTTTTACAATCTGTATGCCTAAAAGCGGGTATTACCGTTTTATTTACTGACTTGTTTAAATGATTCGCTTTTGTAAGAATCAGATGGCATTATGCTTATTGTACAATGCCATATTGGTATATGACATAACAGGAAACAGTATTGTATGATATATTTATAAATACTATAAAGAAAATATTGTGTTTCATGCACTCATGATATGGTTGTTAACTTTCTAAACTGGTTCGACCCTTGCAGATGCCGCCTGTTTGAGCTTTGCTTGTACTGCAAGAAACACTTTGTGTGTGAGAGCTACAGTATTGGGAAAGCACATTCAAGTCTCTGATAACCCGGAGGCAATTGGCAATCTTAAAAGGATTTTACTGGCTTTGTCTGTTTTTTTTCAAGTGAAATATTTTTACTTTACCAAATGTTGAAGTGATACAGTGAAGAAAAAAAAAATCAAGGGACATGGAAGTCTTTGACCTGTTTGATAACCTTTTTATTATTTGGTGTGGTGGGACTGTGTTTTTAAAAGCACATGGAATCATTATAGAAGCCATAAACTATTTGGTATAAAGTTTAAGGAACCAGCAAGTGGCTGGATGAAGGCATTTTATCTAAATTTGTTTTAATATATATGTATATGGTACAGTACTAACTTCATTAAAATTTAACAGGTACTTTTCAATAAATTGTGGAGAATGCCTTCTCTTTAATGGCCTGCAAGTAGGTGCATTTTATTACAGGCTTCTAAGAGTGGGTTTTTTTCAGTAGAAGGAACTTTTCCACCATAAAATATGAACAGCCCAGATACTTTTCAGTTTGTGCTTTGCTTTGGTCGAACTTTGTGTGTGTTCATCACCCATCAGTTATACATTTGTGAGGGTGTTTATTCTATATGGATATTGTTTCATGTTTGTACGGAAAAATTGTAGTTAAACATTTCATTGTCTCCAGTCTGCAAAAGAAGCACAATTCTTAATTGCTTTGTCTTGCTTATAGTCATTAAATCATTACTTTTGCATATAAATTGCTGTTATTTGTCCTGCTTGTTTTTATAGACCAGGTGATTGCAAATCCTCCACAAAGTTATCGCTTATTGATGTATATGTCTTGTTAAACAAGAGTTGATATTTTTTTCTGTAGTAAACATGTACAGCTCAATTTCAACAGTAAAAACTTCAGTTTTATATACACGAATAACTTTCATTTATAGCTGATCAAAGAAATAAACAAATAAAAGGGATAATTCATTGAAAAGTAGCAAATGACCTCTGTTGATAATGTGGTGTTAAGGGAAAAATATCTTTTTCTCATGGGATGTGTTTCTGGGTGTACCAAAGATTTTAGTGAACAGAACAGTATGGTGTGCTAAAATAACAAAGAAAAAAAAAAGCCTAGAAATTGCAGTGATTTGTTTTGGTTGCCTGCCTCGAAAACATTTGCTGTTCTTTATTTGACCCTGATTAATTCTTGGAAATAAGCAAATGGTGCATTCTCACATCCTACTCAGCCACAGGTTTTACCTCCTATCTGTTCAAACTTAGCCCCTGTTAAACTGCATTGCCTGGGAAGGGAAGAATTTGATTTTTGTGATGGTGAGTGCCATGTTCTGCCTGTGCTGTCCTGGATTACTTTTTTAAGCCTCGGTGGAACTAAAAACGTTTTAATATAAAGATATCTCTCAATGCGACCTTATGTCTATCTTGGCACTATTCCCTCAGCTACATGAGTAAATCACGCTGTACTTGTTGAGGTATTTCACCCAAAACCCAGCACTGAACCTGCAGCAGAGGCTTGTACATTAGCACGCTGATAAAATTGCGCTTATTTATACTGGAAGTAGCAGTTAATCACAACTTCCAGCATCAATACGGAACTGTTCTCGGTCTTTGTGGAGTGAAGTACTCGGCAAACAGGAGTGGGATATTTCCCTTCGAGGTTTACTAAGCTCTTGCAGCATTTTCGACATCTCCCGTCTGAACAAGAACAAACGCTCTCAGTAGTTCTCTTGCTGAGCTGCAGAAGCCGCCGAGGATGTTTGTGCTGCCATGTGAAACTTTTGTTTTGCTGCTGGCCCTGCGCAGATGGCACCGCGATGCTTATATACTGCTAAGCACAACTGGGAGGGCGATCAAAGATAGCATCTTGGTGTTCTACTTGTGAACCTGCTACGTCAGCCTTCCCGGTTTCACAATACTTTCCTTTGCAGATACATAGCGAGAGGGTTTCCTTAAAATGTACCTTAATTCTACTTGTTGGGAAAGAAATCTCCATTCGGTACATGTAAAGAGAATCTTTTAATTACCCGACGTTGCGTTTATAGAGATGGAGGGATAAAGCCAAAGTCTGCTGCGTTTTCCTGAGCTTGTTCAACAATCAATCTGATTAAGGGTAGAGGCAGGGGTGGTCTGTGCTGGCTGGCAAAAGATGTTTTTCTGTCTTCGTCCGACCAAATTTTCCTCCCTGGTTCAGCTGCCTGCAGCTACAAGCAGCGCTTTTGTGCCCGGCCGGAATGGGAATCCAGCCCCGGGGAAAGCAACGGAGAGGGAGCATGAAGATCTCTACAGGCTTCTAGAGAAGACAGACAGAAACAGGGAGAAGGAACGCAAAAATACGCATGGAAAGAAAGAGAAGGAGCATGACGAGCTTGCTGAACCGAGATGGTTGTCCACCAGCACCGAGCATTCCTCTCAACAACCTGTGCAGCTGCCTTCCAGCAGATCGATGCGGGCACCGCCGGCACATTTCCGACACCGGCAGCGTCCCGTGGGCAGGAGAGGAGAGCGGAGGGCGGCACCACCGCGGCTCCGGGGGCTCGGGCAGCACCGGAGCCCCAGAAAACGCGACGCAAAGACGACGTTCCCCGATTTTCGGATGGGGCACAGAAACCCGACAGCGGGGGCAACGGCAGGCGCCCTGCGCGACGAGGCGGTGCCTTTGGTCCTCTCCCCACGGCCGCCGGGGATGCACCGCCGTCACCCCCGCCGCCGCACCGCTGCCACAGGAGTGGCTCGTTTCGTTGGGGACTTTCAAAGCGCGGCCAAAGCAAGTCTTCCCGGGACCGGGACCGGGTGGACCCTTCTTCCTTCCGCCTCCGCCAGCCCTGCGCCTCTTTTCTTCTTCGCCGCGACCTCAGACCGCCGGGGCGAAGGGACCAGCAGAGAGCTGTGCTCCTGACTTCCGAACATCACTTCTGGACTGTTCATCTCTCCCCACGCAGGAACTCCTGCAGTTCCGATCTTTGCCACCAAAGCGGCTGACGAGGATCGGGTTGTCTGGCCGTGCAGGGCTCCAGTTTCTGTCCCCGGCGCGGGGCGGGCGGCGGCGGCCCCGCCGCAGGTACCGCAGCGGGAGGCGGGTAGCGGCGGCCCCGCAGGGCTCCTCGAGCCCTCCCAGTTTTAATACGGTGAAATTCTGAGACAATGTTTACTCAGATAAGTGTTTCCTGTTTCCGCTGTTAATTTTTAACGTTCTTGCTCCTACTCTGGGTACTTGAAACGGATTTCCTTTATTTTACTATAAACAGTTTCTTTTTCATCTTTTCTGCCCGTCTCCCACCCGGAAGACGCCTGGAGAAGAACCTGCGCTCCCGTCCCAGGGTCTGCGGATCTCTGCTTTCCGCAACTCCAAGTCGTTGCCCCGCTGCGGGAGCTCCGACCCATGGTTGATTTGTGTTGTATTAACTCAAGAATGGGAAGGATTCTGGCAGCGAGGATTTTTTTCCAGCTTTGGCTCCCTCACTCCCTTTCCCCACGACCAACAGAGGAGTCCCGCCAGGACAACAGAAAAACTTGTAAAGCCCAGTGTGGACCATGCAACTCTCGGTCGCACCGCCTTCGGGGATGGGATATTTGTATTTATTTAACAGTGATGGTATGGGCCAAAGAAAAAAAAAATCGACAGTGTCGGTAACGAGTACAGCACGAAGGACACGTAACACCCGCGGCAAAGGGAGGTCTTCCCCGCCGGGGTTGGGCAGGCAGAGGGAATTCCATCCCCGTTCGCTGCCGCGGAGCCGCAGCCGCGACGGGCAGGACAGCGGCAGCCGCGGAAAGGCCGCGGGCGGTGGTGTCGGCGGCGGGCGCTGCCCCGGGGGTGCGCAGAGCCCGCGGGCCCCCCCGCCGCCGGGCCGGCTGCTGCTGCTGCCCGCCCCGGGAGCCCGGCCCGGAGCTGCGGGTCGGCTGCACTTCGTTTCGCGTCGTCTCGGCCGGCGGGAACGCGACTCCTCGGGCCGGCGTGGAACCGCGGCGCTGGGAGGCGGCGGCGCCGCGGGCACGGCCGGACCCCCCTGCCCCGCCGGGCCGGGCCGCCCCGCTCCGCGCCCCCCGCGCCGGGCAGAGGCCATCTTGCGCCTGCGCACCGCTGCGCCCGCGGAACTTCCCCCCGCGCCGCCAGATTCGAACGGGGCTGCGCGGGGCGCGGAGCGGGACCCGCGGGGGGACCCGCCGGGGGCTCCGCGCCGCGACCGCCGCGATCGGACCCCGACAGCGCTGCCCCAAAGGACTCCGCCGGCGGCCACGCCGGGTGCGCCGTCGCGCTTTGCCACCCTCCCGGGCCGGGCCGGGCCGGGTCCGGCCAGGGGGCAGCGGGCACGGCCGGCAGGCAGCACCCCTGGCCGCAGCCTCTCGCCGCCGAGAGGTGCAGCCGCAGCCCCCGCACCGCCCTGTCTCCCCGTCTGCCTTCCCCCGCCTCCTGCCCTTAGGGTGCTCCAGCCAGCCCGGACATTTAGGGATGCGCGCACAGGGACGGGAGAATTCCCGCTTTTCCAGCTGCAGGGCGCCGCTGTCCCGTGTCCCCGCTAGCCTTGCCGCAGGCACACGGCCTCCCGCCGATGCCGGGACCAGCCCTCCCCGGGGCACGGCGGGGCCCCGGGGCGCCCCGACCTCCCCCAGAGAGGGGAGGGGGCCGCGGTAGCCATTTGGCGCATCTATTTTCGTGGTCCGTAGCTGAATATCGCACCTCGTCTACAGAGACAAAGGGCTGTATGTTCCCATCGCCGGGGACAGGCAGATGCCTTCCCCGCTCCCCGCGCCGATGCTCTCAACGGTGCGGCGGGGGTACATTTTCCAGGGAGCGGCCGGGTGAGATCTCCCCCGTGGCAGGGAGGCACTTTCCAACAGCAGAAGCAGCCAGCAGCCCTTCCTCCTCTGCGCCCGTCGCCGGGCTCCTCTGGCGAGAATACCGCCCGTATCTCTCTCCCGCCGCATCCCCCGTGGAAGAGGCCGAGGCCGGGAGACACCGCCCCGTATCCTGGGGCCTTCGCTGAGCGCAAATCTCAGGCACTGCTGCCAGCGGTGGCCTTTCTTACTCCTCCCTTTCCATGTGCTAGGGATGCTCGAGAGTTGCCTCCTCGACGAGGCACTTTCTGATCTGTGAGACAACATCGTGCCAAGGATCCTGTAGCCGATGAAGGCCTCCGAAATGGGCTGACACTACAAAAAAAAAAAAAAAAATCCCCCACCAAAACTAACCAACCAACGACCAACCAACCAACCAACCAAAAAAAAAAAAAAAACCCCCCACAAAAATAAACAAACAAACAACCACCACACAAACCAAAAAAAAAAAAAAAAAAAAAAGAAAAAAGAAAAAGACAAACCCAAACCCCAAAAAACAAACCCAGGAGAAAACTGCAAATAAAATAACAAAACTCCACACTCCACCAAAGAAACCTAAACCAGCCTGCATTCACAACCCCAAAACTTTAAAGGGGAAATGAGGGGAAAAAAATCCAACAGAACAAACAACAAGATAAAACCCAAAAGAAAGCCCAAACAACCAAAACCAAAAAACCCCAAAACCTATGCTAACAGGGTGCTGAAGGGAAGGTGTTGGCATGTCCAAGGTGCAGGTGTGCTGAGTGAGTGATGCCCCTGCGAGGCAGCTCTCACTGCGCGGGGTGCGGAGCCTGCGCACACCCTCCGCATGTTCCCGACGCCGGCAGCTCTGCCCGGCCAACGGGTGCTCCGGTGCAGCCGGTCGGAACGTGTCCCATCCGGAGGGACAGCACTTCGATTTCTAGGTTGGGATAGGCTGGCTGCGAAGAACTGCGGCTGGAGCCCCGGGGGACACCGCGCTGTTGCTCCCCGGGCTGGGGCTCTGCTGCCGGGCAGGCGGGAGGGCAGGGAGAGCCCCCGGGCACCGAGGAGCTGGCAACAGAGGGTACCAGCGGAGGCGAGAAAGGCGCTCAGCGCCGAGAGGGATGCCTACAAGCCAAGAGCTGCCATTTTGTCTCTTTTAAGAGGGTTGCCTTTCCCCTCTCCTG